GGGGAGATGTTGAAGGTGGAGTCACCCCACTGACATGCAGGCCCTGGGGGGCCACCAAGTAATGTAGCTGGTGAAAGTCAACAGGAGTCAAAACGCATGTGTTTGCTGACCAGCCCTGGGCTGGACCGGTGAGCCGGAGACTCAGTTCCGTAATAACAATTTGGAAAATATCCAGGGACTTTCCTCTTCTAATTTAAGCACTGATATCCCTGAAACTGTTATTCCCCTGTGTTGTGGTGCATATCTGAAGTGTTTGAAATATAAACCCCCCAAATGGCACAAGAGGACAGACTTGAACGTTTGCCATTCTTCCTCACAGCCCCAGAGCCCTGGGGGTCAGGCCCTCTGTGCAGAGAAAGGGCACTTGGGTGACTACAGAGCTCCCCCTTGGCCAATCCCCAGCTCTTTGGGGAAGAAGCAGGATGGCTGTTGCTTTGTGGCTGCCTCTTTTTTTAGACATAACTGCATTTGGGCTTTATTTTTTTCTGTCTTTGCAAAACTAATTCAAACAGGGTTTAATGCAGCACCTGTTAAGGATGTCAGAGCATTGACCAAGTAATCTAATCTGAAATATTCTCATTTCTTGTAGCACACCTGGAAAAACATTATGGAAAAAGAATGATCATGAACAGACTGGGTTTATTTAAGAAACTTTTCAATGATTTGTCTGTAAGAAAGGGATATTTTCTTTTTGGCTAAATATAGAATGTAAGACAACCTCAACATATCAGCTCTACCAATGTTGAGTTTCTCCTTCGTGCCCACTTCTGAACCAGATCATAAAAAGCATATTTGATGCCATGTACCAACTATCTCTCAAAGGGCTATTTTTGCCATCATGGTGAAACAAGATGTTACACAGCATTCTATTATTCTAATCAAACGCTAAATATGTAGTGCTGACATGTCATTGTACATTAGAACAGGACATTTAAAATAAGGTGCTAATTAGGTGGAAAAAATGAGAGTAAAGCAGAATTAGATATTGAACAGCCAGAAGCTTCTCTAAAATGTTGTTTGAGCATGAGCTGATCTCTAAAGAATGGTTTGTTTGGAACACATTCTTATTCTTATTTTGAAAAAAGCTGAAGAATGGCTTCCTCGGGTACTCTATTCTGGTCTGTTAAAATATAAATGCTGGGATTTTCTTCCAGTTTTCATGGTAGGGAGTCTGTGGCGTGTGTTTTTCTGGTGTCTCCACAAAGTGAGATAAGTGATGCTCGCAGAGTCGGGGCCATGAGACGAAGCCGCATTTGCCCATGTGCGCACCAGTAGGAGCAAAAGTCCTGAAAGTGGAGCCTCCGGGATGACACCAAATCATCCAGTTGTCCTAACTGCCTACAGTGAGACAGAGATGTAACAAATCGATCTCATTGCTATGAAGTTTGACTTTGTGTTCAACCACTTTAGTAATTAATAAGACCTAGCAGCGGTAGGTTTTCACAAAAATCTTATTCTGAGTCACTTTATGTTGAGAAATAGATTCAAACCCTTTTCTTGAACTATTAAAAACCTAGTCCACTCTCAATCTCTCTGATAAGGAGTGAAGTTGACCACCTTATGTGACTATATTTTGTCTCTACTCCCCTTCTTAAAGTGGATGCGATAGCACAGATCTGGGCTCAGCTCTGTGACATGTCTGTCCTTGTAGCAAAAGAGCACGACATCTCTCAGGAGCAGCACGGTCCATGGTACTGTACTGGTCAGCAAACGTTCCTTGAGTCTAGTTGGACCTGCTGTTCGTCACAGTGCTTTAAGAATCTTAGAAGAGCAAGCCCTATATCAATCTTAAAAATCCCTTCAGTTTGAACTGCTTTTCTTCAGATCATAACTGAGATATTATTTAACTTCTTTCCATCTCATTCAACCTCAGCTGACACAAGAAGTTGTACAAGTGGCTTCAAGTTATCACGTTTTTACTTAGCTTTGGAACAACTCTCTGTCTCTCATCTTGACTGAAAGGTATTGCTGAAAAGGTTTCGTGAAGCAAGAAATTGGACCCCAATAGTGATTCATCCAAAAGTGATAGGAGAAATGAGTGCACACACGTGCACACACACACACATACACAGAGTAGTTTTTTGAAAGGGGACAAGAAGTCTCCCTATAGAGGCACTTTAAAAATAGACTCATTTCAACAAATTGAATGAAGGTGCCTTCTTGACCTGCCCTCCCCTTTATCTTGCCAAGCCGAAGGCTTGTTTGATTGCTTTAATTGGTCTAGGAATGTGTGGCAATGCTTAGTAGGAAGTGCGTTTCACCAGAAAAGCTGCTCGAAGTGACCCAGTAACTCACAAGGAAGCTGGAACTTCACTGAGCTTCTCCCACCTGCCTTCAGAAAGCCCAGTGCCACAGGTCGCGACGCTGTGGTCATTCTGCTTCCTTGTAGCTTCTTTTAATTTTCTGACAAGTGCTTGTGCCCTACCTCAGTGTCTGCTTCTCAAAGTTCAAATTATTTTTTCTCTCTGAGGAGCTGTGACTGGGGCTGTCACTTATTAGGACATTTTGTGAGAGAGAGAGAGAGTGTGTGTGTGCCATCAAGAACTAAATGCAGCCACATCTATCTGGTTCTCAAATACAGAATCCTGGGCCACGATGACACAGCAGTTCTCGCTGTGGATGGTGTTTGGGAGGTTCACTTTCTACCACTGATCAGGCCATTTCTCCTTCTGTATTTTGGTTTCCCAAAGTAGGGGAGATTTCCATCAATATCCAACCTCTTTCCCTATCCTTGTTAACCCAGGTTTCTATCAGATAGTCTCTCAAGGTTCTGTAACTTGATCTCATGGTTTTATAACAAAAATAAAACCAAACAACAACAACCAAAAATCTACCAAAACAACACCTGGCTTGGACTAAGAAAAATGCCCCTATGGGCACGCACCTCACCTGCTCCAGGAGGTCCTAGAAATTCACCGGACAGCAATCCCCCACAAAGAACTGTCCCAGACAAAGTATCCAGCTGGGCTGGGGACTGTGCCTGGAAACTACCAAAAATGAAGCTATAATTGAAAGGCATTGGGTAACTTTTTCCTTCTTTGAAGCTTAATTTTTTTTAAATGTAAACTTTGCTTTCCCACTTTATTCCAAATGTATTTAACTATCCAAGTATTCTGAAAGCAGATCAGACTAGGCAGTAGAAACTTAAAAAATAAAAATGTAGCCTGAATATTTCCAAATATAATAGTTTTGGTGACTGGATTTAGCCTAATGCAGTATTGCTGTATGTAGACTCTGCCTTAGCAGAAATAAAAATATTTGGTAATTAGCTTTTACACATTGTATCCAAAGAATACCTCAAAAGTTCTAAAAAATATTTTGTACTCCCTGAAGTAAGGAAAACACGCCCCCCCCAATCTCTTGTAATCCTAATTTGCATTATTCCTGTTCTCAATCAATTTCTCTTTCTTTGGGTAAACTTTAGTGCAGTCCTTGTTAGAATCCTCATGGATCACAAACCAGTGAGAGCCAAGTGAAGCCCTATTAGGTTCGTTTATGAGACATTTACCTAACTTTTTTATTAGAAAGAGGAAGTCTTGCTTCTGTGTCTCTTTAGCAGCACAAAATAGGTTTCTGAAGGAGCAGAGCCTTGTTTCCTTCAAGAATACATTAGGCAAAAATATATGCAACCCATTCAGGGTTGGGCTGAGCATCCTGAGAGCCTAATTATGTCTTAAGAGAAGATAAGTCAGAACAAGGGTGAGTGAATAATGTGGAAAAAGGGATGATTATGAACCAAGAGACTGGCCTAACCATTGATCTTTCTGCATGTAAGCACCAAGATCCTCTGAGGGGCCCTTCCTGTTTATAAATCAATCTTTTCAAAATTTCATGACAATCCTTGCAATCTTAAGAGAAAGATCATCAGTCTGCAGAGGGGAAGATCTATCTAGTATCAATATACAACGACCTGGCGAACCCAAAGCAGACAAAATCACTGACACTCACTAACTAGTTGTTCCCCAAGTCACCTGGGGGTGCAGATAAAGAGTTTGCAGGGCCTGTTTCACTGTAAAAGGACTGTTTTGGTCCTGAAGATCCCTGTTGGCAAAGCCCTTATAAACACTGGGGAATTCTAGATTTATTCTAGAGTGGACCACAATGGACTTACTCACACGGAGACCCAGGGAGGATTGACTCAATCTTGGGGGAGAAAGAAGGAAAAGGAGGAGAAAGAGGAAGAAACAAAATATCTCCTAATGATTTGACACCTACCATGTATCAGTATATCACAGATACTTTTATTACTCCCAATGACAAACCTATAAGGTAGCTTTTATTTTTCTATAGATCAAGAAATTGAGATTAAGTGACTCTCCTCAGGCCATTTATTTATTCAGCCAATATTTATTATGCATCAGGAACTATTTTAGGTGCTGGTAAACCATGGAAAAAGAGGCAAAAACTCTAAATTTTAATTCGATATTTTTCAGACACTTTTAAAATTATGACTCTCAGCAAGAAATGTATATTAAGCTACCACACAGTATGTGCACCTTATAAATACATGCGCATATACATTTGAAACAAAATTTTTATACACACACACACTAACTTATCCTTATTGCATGCATTGCAGCTCTAATATTTTTCTATTTTATTTCTTCTTTTTAAAATATGATCATAACCAATTAAATTGATTTTATGATTTATTGATGATTCATAACCCAGAGTTTGAAAACATTGTCTTAGTTGAGTTGAATGAAATGGGACTAATATTGATGATATTAGTCAATATCAAGAACTTCAATATTATTCTCACAACTCCAAGGCCTGGGGAGTTATCTACATCTTTTTAGGGAAGATTCTCATCTGTGGAAGGAGGGTTATCTGTCCCTTGTCAGCCAAGGATGGTTTGGTGGAGGACATATAACTCCAATTTGGATCTCCCAAGATGTTCAAACTCCATCTCTTTTTCATAGCATGTCTTCTTCTGTTTGCTCCCAGCAATAATAATGTGTTTTGTTTTTTTCCTCTAACCCTTTGTTCTCCCCACATAGGCTGACTACAGAATATCCAGGCCACTATGGTGAGGAAATGGACATGGTTTCCTACAATTATGATTACTACATGCGAGGAGCAACAACCACTTTCTCTGCAGTGGAAAGGTGAGAAGGACAACCAGTCCCCATGGGCTAGGGGTCATAGGAGCTAGAGACTAACTCCATGCAAGGATTATGTTTGCAAGAATTTTGATCTGGGATTTTCTCTATTTTAGTTGCCTACTTTGTCAAGGATTACCTGAGGGTTTGGCTGGACAACAGGAGGCAATGGGAAGGGAGAGTTTCTATGAACTCACCTCATAGAGCAGCTCACCCTTGGAGATGAGGATGGATTCCGGCCTGCCCCAGAACAGAGAGTCCTAAGCTTGGTATTTCTTAATGTTCTGAGCTCTTGCCCTCACTTAATATCCCAAAGCACCTTTCCTCACCAAACATCAGGCGGAGAGGGCAAGTATGTTTGGAGGCGTATGTACCGTCAAGATGGACTGTCTTTAATTCCATGCCTCTATATGACCCACTTTGAATTGTAGAAAGGGAGAGAAAAGAAGAGGAGGGGATTGGACAGGAGGAACACACAAAACCTACTTGGTCTGTTTGGGCTGCTACAACACAATACCTTAGACTGGGTAATTTATGGGGAACAATAGTGGAGGCTGGAAAGTCCAAGATCAAGGTGCCAGCAGACTCAGTGTCTAGTGAGGGCTTGCTTGCTGCTTCAAAGATGGTACTTTATTGCTGGGTTCTCACATGGGTGACGGAAAAGACAGCTCCCTTCAACCTCTTTTATGACGGCTCTCATCCCATGCTTGAGGACAGAGTCCTCATAACTTAATCACTTCCAAAAATGCCCCACCTCTTAACATTATCACATTGGGTGTTAGGTTCCAACATATAAATTTTGGGGGGACCACAACATTCAGACCACAGAATCTACAAACCATATTTAGAAATGAAAGAAGGGTAATAACACCTCAAGAAAGCTGGAAAAAAATTTTAATGAAAGAAGAGAATTTAAAGAACCTAAAGGAAAAAAAGACAGAATTAACCTTTTTCACCATCTTTCTCTCATGATCAGCTTCCCAATCTTATCTCAAATACATCAAAATAAAACAAAACAATGAGAAGAAAACAAGAATTCTTCCCCCTATTAATATAGATAGAGGTATGGGTAAATCCAGGTGTTAAAGATTGATTAGAATTACATTTAGTCAGCTGATAATCACTTTACACAGAAATGAATTCCTGAAAAGTTACCAATAAATTATTTGCAAACGAAATAGAATTTATGTTAACTCATTAGATACTGTACTATGATGAATTTGAATGTGACTTATCTTTGTGTATATCCATGTTTTCAAACGAAATTGCTTCTTACCTAACTGATATTAAGGTATTTAATATGGCCTAGAATTAAAAAAAAAAAAACACAAAGTAGCTCCAGAAAGGCACAATATATGTTACTGGTTCATGTACAAAAGTCCTCATGTTTACCCATAAGAGAATTCTCCAGTTCTCACACATTACTTGTTTTTATTTTAGATACATTTTTAACTAGCTTAGTTACCTATTTTCTAGAAGCAGCAAATTAGAAAGGAAACAGGGAATATAGTACTTACAATGAAACTCATTTCACCAGTGAGAAGAAATAGCTGAATGACATGACACACCCAACAAATATATTGAAGAAAAAGAAAGAAAGACCCATGAATTCAAAGAACATGAAGCCTGGTGTCACTTAGCAGCAGTGTGTACCCCAAAGTGCAAAACAGAATAACAACATAGCAGGGGGCTCAATATTCCTAATGGTAACTCCAGGTCAACAAGAAAGTTAGTTCTCTATTTCCTGTTTAAGAAGGCAGGAAAGAATGCAGTAAAGAAAGAATGCCATCCAAAACTATTTTGAAATAAATATATTTTGAACAGTTAAGATGCCTAATTCCTGTTGGCTTGGTTATGGGAGATTACCTAGAATCATGAAAACTGAAGATACTATGTCATTGCCGTGGTTTAAAATTAATATCCTCCCCAAAATAAAATAAAATAGATATACTCACGCAATTTTGCTGCTGTCACTAAAAATCAGTGGCTTAATGATCCACAACCTGAATTTCTTCAGTTCTGCTGAAAGATGCTGAGGGCCCCACCTTGGAGAAACATTGTTAGTGCAGGACTCGCTGGGAAAGGGCTTTCCCTCCATGTGCAGATCACACCGGTTTCCTCCTGGAAATGGAGTTTCTCAACCTGCACACTATTGACATCTGAGGCCAGATAATTCTTCATGATAGGGGTCTGTCCTGTACATTCTACACTGTCAGCCTACTCACTATATGCCATTAGCACCCCATCGCCAGTCATGACAACCAAAAATATTTACAGACCTTGCCAAATATCTCCTGGAGAGTAAATCTGTACCTGGTTGAAAACCACTGTCCTGGAGGGAAACCAGAGACTGAACCTGGTTGAATCCCTTGGACCTCATAGGACCAAGTTTAAATTTTGCTCAGTATCAACTAACATCTTTTTAAAAGAGTAGTATGACCCCCTGGCCATAGATCTTGTGTATCTGTGTTTGTGGGTACACAGATAGATAAGAATTGATTGCAGTAATTAAATTCATTTGGTAAACCCGCATGCTACCAATTTGCCAATCTCCATCTAAAACGAGCTATGGCCTTTGTTAAAAATTATAGGAACACATACCAATAGTTGATCACCTAGGCCCTCAAAGACTTGTACTGAGGGACTCTACTCCCAGTTGTTCTAAACAAACAACCTGGAACACCAGACTCGGAATTAGAATGCCTGCCAGAGGTTGTGTGAGCAGAGTACGCCATACCTCCCAGTACTGACAGCGGCCAGGCCCACTTTCCAGTTCAGAAGCTGGATGGAGGCCTTGTCATTCATGGTGTTTAGGATAAACTGAATTGGAAAGGGGCCTTGCAGATTGAAAGGAAGAAAGATAATCCTAAGGCTCCACTGTGCTTTGGAAGGATTAGCATGATCCAACATGGAAAACTCTTAACTTTTGCCCTTTATCGGGACGGTGGGAAGGGGATGACAGCCACGTCCTCTCTGGGGTTAAGGGTACCTAGTTATGGAGACAGTGTGGTATAAGAGAAAGACCAAGATTTGAGTCAACAAACTTGGAATCTGAACTTGTCACCTGCTACCTATCACTTGTAATATCATAAAGTAAGTCACATATTTCTCTGACTCTACTTCTTCACCTAAACCCTGAATTTTTGCAAGGATTAAAAGAGAAAACATTTAAAGCATCTAGCGCAATGCCAGGTATATTGGAGGTGCTCAATTAATAGTAGTAATAATTATTGTTAGGCCACAGGAGTGTCATGCAGTGTGGGCACTCCATACATTTTTGTTACATGGACGAACAAAAAACATAACTTTGCCCTTAGCAAAGAACATTTCTTGAAAGATACCACATGATATTTTTCAAAATCAAGCAATTCTATGTACTCTCACGCCCACCCCAACCACTTTAAATAAGTAGGCAATTGCATTTCCGTTATGCCAGAGTGGCAAACCTTTTCTTTTTCACTTTAAGGGGTCTAAAGAGTTGATTCTCCTCACTTCATTTCTCCGTGATGAGTACTCGGCAAAGGAAAGAATCAGTAAGAAAATTGATGGACTTTTTAAAAGAAGATTCTTTACAATAAAATGGAGATGGTGTTAAATAAACGCTTTTATTCCAAGCCGTTAACCCTTAGGTCCCCGAGGCGCCTTTGGGAGACAGCAGGGTGAGCTGCGTCAGTGATTAACAGGAGCCTCCGCGTGCAAGGACCCAGTTAGTCCCCTTCAAGGGGTAACCTGACCTCACAGAGGTGTAGGTTCTCTGGAGATGTCACAGAGACGTCTCCTAAGAGCAAAGTGAGGTTACGGGTCCCTTCAGTCCCCAGATCCTCTAAGTGTTCATCGCTTTTTCCCAGCAGGGATTCTTCCTGTGGTGTCTTTTCTCACTGACATTGGTTTTCTGACTCTCCCCCTCACAGGGATCGCCAGTGGAAGTTCATAATGTGCCGCATGACTGATTACGACTGCGAATTTGCAAATGTCTAGATTCGCCACATACCAAATCCGGGTGGAGGGAGAGGAGCCAGGAGACCCGAGGGTGCCCACACGCGTTAGCATCAGTTGGAACTCTTGTGGCTGTTTCTGCTGCTCTCTTTCCTTCTCCCCGAGCTAGCAGCTGCAATGCCAGCTTCCTGGGCCTTTCTGACTCCTATCACACTTATAATAAAATCCACAAGTAAACAATGTTTCTCACTTTCAATACGTTCCATAGCAACTGTTTTACGTGACTGACGATGGCTTCCTTGCACGCCACATTCCCAGCGCGCATGCGTACAGCCCGGCTCTGGAGCCCCGCCACCGCCTGGCCGCTGCTTTCACCGCAACAAGAGCTGCATGCTCAGCATAGAGGAGGGCAGGGCTGGAGGGGAAGGGCCCTGGAGGTTCCCTACAGCTAAGTCTGGATGACACACAGGGTCCTCACCAAGGGCAGGCCCCCTGCCCTGAGGGGACGATTTTCCACTCTCCGGCTTCACGTGAGCCGGGCATCCTTAGAAGTCCAAGTGCAGAGCTCTCCGCTCTGGGAGTGAGGGGACTGGGAGGTGACAAGTGGGGAGGGGTGGTGGAAGGATTTCCTGATGTAGAAGACGAATGTCAGCGTACCTGTAATGACAATGAGTGCAGGGGCCAGAACCTGTGACAGTCAGTCTCAAGTGAGACAAAAACAAGGAAGGAGAGAAGGGTCAGAGAAGGGGACTCGGATTGGGAACTCGGAGCTACGTGAGTGGCCAGGTTGCTTTGGGATTTGGGAAAAGTGGTTTGAGTCACTGGCGCCTAGAGGCAGGTTCAGGATTCCTGGGAACGCTGGCATGAGCCCTGGGACCAGGGGGAGCTGCTGGCAAACTCCTCAGTATTGGTCGTGACATTCTGGGTGGGAAAGGCTGCCCTGGGGACCACTTCCCTTCTGCATGCAGCTCAGAGGTGTCTTCTGCAGAAGCGCCACTATCTTTCCTCCTCTGGTGATGTCTCTGTCCCCAGCCCTTTGTACTCTTCATCATAAAAGAAATAAAAATATTAACTTTCACTATGCTGCAAATGTCTGGGGTCAGTTTTTGTTCTCTACCCTTCCCCTTTCCTGTGATTCATTCATCCATTCTGAAAGTGCGGCTTAGCGTGGTGAATTGTGCCAAGCAGCACGCAAGGCACACCCAGGGACACGATGATGACAGTGACAGAGTGAGGTTGGGGCATCAGATCATTAAAACATAAAGTGCTGAGTGCTTACCTTAAGGATGGAACAAAGGATGGAGCCACGATTTTTGAGTCTAGCCTATATATCCTGCACATCCTTCAACACTCTTTGCCCCAACTTGTCACTTGTCCTGTGGGTTTTTTTCTTTATCCACACAGTTTTCCTTTTCTTTTCTGTTCTGCGCTGCCCTTCCCTCATCCTCTCTCCCAGGGAACCTAGGACAGGAGCCAGCCAGGGAACCACAGGGGTCATCTGCCTTGTCATACCCCCCAACCTAGGAGGTCAGGATGGGCACTGCATTTCCCGCTGCAAGACCCCAGCACCGTGATGGGGAAGGACGTCCTCCTTTGTCTTAACTCTAAAATGCTTTTTCATATCATGGTTTTGTTCTATTTCCTTCACGTCATGGTTTCTGTCTCTCTAGCAATTTTCATTTGCAATAAGAAGCTTCTTGGTGTTATTTTTCACAAAGGGAGCCATTAATATTTTAGCGACTGCAGCGCTGGCTCGGATGTGTGGAGCACAGCTGGGAGGGAGACAGGCGGTGCCGATGGGCTGCCTTGGCACCCAGGAAGAAAACACTTTGGGGCTGGGAGAGAGAGACCTGCAGCTGGGAGGAGCCATCCAGGAAACTGCAAGAGAACACGAGTAGAGAAAAAAATTGTAAAGCAATCCAAGAAGAAGTACCTGTGCCAAATGGAATAAATGGAGAGGTTTTTACGAAGAGAAAAACTATTCTTTGCATATAGGCCAAGGACAATGACAGGATAGAAATTTTCAACTCGGTTTGAATCTGAATGGTTTACACTTTATATTATACATCATTCAGTGAGAAATGAGTGTCTGAGTGAGGACGAAATCCCAATCTTCTGACTGCAAGTTCTCATTCTCTATTCTCTCATTACTCCGATCTTTCTCCTGACTTGCTCACAGTCTTGGATAAGTCACCTCTCCTTCCTAGGCCTATTGTCCAAAATGAGGACATTTATCTAGGGCATCATTGTGGCTTTTTGCAAATCTTGAATTTCGTGAACTCTGTCATCTGCCCTGAATTGTTTATGAAGGGATTTGCTAAGACATTTTCTTCCAGGGAAGAAGCCCAGAACTATTAATAGTAGGAACCTAGACGTAGGTCCTACCCCTAGCTCTGACAGAGGGTGGCTGTGTAAGATGAGACAAGTCCCCAAGCCACCCTTCTCTCATCTGCCCAGTGCAGGCAGGAATCCCTTTCCCAACAACTTCACAAAACGGTGGTCACAAAAATGAGATGAGGGAAGAAGAGAGACACGATTTCTGCCTCACAAGGCCTACAGCCTAAGGGTGAGATGAGAAAACAGAGATGACAGTGAGTGAAGGAAAGTTCCCTGAGGAAGCTGAGTCTTTGCTTGGCCTTGAAGGACAAGTAGGACTTCTGCGGTGAGGGGAAAAGACTGTGTGTTCTGGACTCAGAGGGCACAAATCCCGGCTCTGTCACTTCCCAGCTTCGTGACCTTGGCCAGGTCACCTAACCTTTCCTGAGACTCTATTTATTTACCTGTAGAAATAATAGTATGACCTACACCATGGGGTTGTTATAAGGATTAAGTGAGATCACACAGTATCTTGCACATAATAAATATCTAATAAATGTAGTGGGAGAAGGGGAATAGTATTAGTATACATTAGAAATAAAGTTCCTTATGTAAGCTGGATTGTAGTGTAGGTCACTGATAGGAAAAGTTCATCAAATAAGCAAGACTTAAGTTTGGTTCTCATTCATTTATCCATTTGTTCAGTCACTGAATCAATAAAATTTTACATGCTTATTATATATCAATTGCTGTAGTGGGCACAGTGTCTGCCTTCATGAGGATTATAAACTGAAGGAGTCAGATAAGCAAACAAACTGTTAAGAGTACAGTTTAGTAAGTCAAGGACAGGTGGCATTTCAACAGAGGATGGGGAGGGATTAGGGTGGGAAAAGGGATAGTGGCATTTCAGGCAATGGAAACAATATGGCGGAAGGCATAAAATAATATATGGGTTTAAGGAAGTTTCCCCAGGAACTACTGGCCTCACCAAGGGGGTCTGGGAAGCCCAACATGCAGTCATAATGCCCCAAGGAGGGATTGGCATCTCTCGTCAGCACCATAAGGCATTCCATTATTTGTGCATATTAACTATAATTTATAGTGTCTCTCTGGAACTCAGATGGCTGGGGGAAGTCCTCTCTGCATCCTGGCTCTTCATCTACACACGTCTTTTTGCTCGATGGCATTGACCCAGACATGAAACCCAACACTTTTGTAAGTTCCTTCAGAAGAATACATTCTGACAAAGGCTGTAGTGAATGTACCAAATTTAAAAAAAAAAAAAAACACCTTAAAATTAGCTGGTCTCACACCCAGCTCCAAGCCTACTTGGCCATCTTCTCTTATTAACCAGAGAAAATGTGTACAATACAGTCCATGCCCAACACAGATGTGTCCACCGTGGTGGCTAACAGAACAGAGGCCATATAGTCAATAGCATCCACTCTCCTTATAAAGTCTCAATCAAATTTAATTAAACCACTTCTGTTTATTTCTGTTTAATTAAACCGCATTGTTAAGGAGTGGTACCTGAACCGGTTACCATCCTGGGACCCAGAGTCAGTGAGGCGAGGTAAGCGGAACCCTTCACAGAATGCTGCCTGGACCTATGGTGTGGCATCCCTTACCCACTGGCTTATTGGGTCTCTGTTATTCAATTTATTCCTTTCTAAAGCAAGGATGAGAAAACATTCTTACCTCAAAAGTCATTGTAAGGAATGATAATGATATATTTACACAAGCTCAGATTTTCATGGTGCTTACAACCTTTCATAGCATGGAATATTCCCAAAAACTGAAAACCAACCAGAACTCCCCATTAATTTTAAAACCTATTTATTAGATGCCACTGTGCCTTGATAAGCACTTGACTCTACCATTATGTGACCTCCTTCTTCTCTTCACCCTAAGGCAGCCTATGCACCCATAAGGAGCCCAGTTATCAATGTGAAAGAACGACTTTCTGTATCAGTGGAAAATGATGAATAGAAATATTCCAAAATGCAAATTATGATAGTCTGTGGATTGTAGCATTACTGTTTATTTCTTTGTTCTTCTTTATATTTTTCTACCTTCCCTTAACTTATAAAAACAATGATCATTTACTGTGTTTATAATCAAAAAAGAAAAGTAAAATTATGGAACAAAAACAGTCACTGGCTGCCAAGCAGTTGATCCCTAGGAGGGTGTCCCAGCTGAGAGGTCACCATGTGATTACTTCATGGAAAGAAAGAGATTATAAAGCCAGACCCTTTCATCTAACTGGCTGCCTTAATGGGTTATAATTTAATATGCAGAATTACCTGCTCTTTCCAACGTCTGTCACCATCCCCAGAGACAATGGAACAGATGTTCGGCCTGTCATATGGCCAATAGGAAACTAACATTCACAACAGCAGCGGAAAATCTTCTCCCCAACTCTTCTATTCACTGAGGTCCTATGTCAGGGCCAAACACAGACTGGGCTTCCCCAGGAAAGTTTCCTGAGCCTTCCAAGACTGGGTTCTTCCCTAGCTCTGTCAGCATTCTGTGCCTTCCTTTCCATTTCCCTGAGGACAGGAGTCCTGTCTCTCTTGTTCATTGATAGATTTCCCACGCCCAGCTAGATGGCTTTACACCCAGTGAGCATCCAAGACATGTATTCTGAAATTAATCTGGATTTCTGGTTGGCTTTCAGTTTTTACTGGGAAGATCCATCAGAGCTCTAAGCAACCAATAATTGAAAA